TCAGACTCTCATGTTGGCGAAGAGAGAGATCCTTGCAGGCCAGACAGCACGGCAAAGCTACGCCCTTGATTGCTTTACAATGAATCAGAATACACGTATGACAGGAATGACATCTCGTGATAAGCTCAGACTGGCAGGCAGCTGCTGCGTCATAGGCTCATAACCTGCAAGATGACGAGAAGATGGACATCTTGGGGGTCAAATTCTTGCCAACAATGGAGTAGGACTTGTGCTCAAGGCGAACGTTCAATCAGGCTTTCGGTGTTCACGGAATCTGGCGATCATTCATGACTTTCCGTTTTCGGAGCTACCGTTCCATCAGAGAGTAGGGGCTCATCCAAAGACTCCAAGAGCTCACTCCAAGTCTAAGACATCTGCTAAAGATTTGACCCAGAAATCTCTACTGTCGGCAATGCCGTGTAAGATTACTCGATGAATTATGATTGAGGTTTTCGAATCGTTTCAAGGCCAGACAATAACAGGGACCTCCGCTGTGATCTAGACGGGCTCCACGCTCCAAGTCTCTCACATTCCACAGGAAAACCCAGCTGAGTAAGACATCAATCCCCCACATTCTTCGTGGTTGCACTAGCTTGATTCTGCCCTTTTTGTCATCATCGTCTTGTAGCTTGGAGGTGACTCTTTGCGCTACTACGTACTTCAGGATGACTATGCGATGGTGGATGACGGCATCAGGAGGAGGGGTCATTATAGAAGCAGTCGCACGTCATGGCTTGATTTATTTTTATTATTCCCGGCCTGGTGTTTTGAGTCCATTGTTTGACTGCACTCACTTCTGCAAGAGCTCTCTTCTGTCTGGGGCCTTTTTGCCAGTGTGGAAGCGCATGTGCACCTTTTGCGCTGCTATAAGCCAATTCGCTCTGCTCGCCGGTTATCCAACTTGTGATTTGAATGTTTCTCTTGACCTCAGAAGATGGGAGTAGAACTCGGAGGACCAGGGGTAGACCACTCCCACCTCGGCTATCCGCATCGTCCTATGAACCCGGCGTTGGCGACACCTCTGTTTGTCCTCAGCGGAGTCTTCACCGTTCTATTCCTCTGTCGTGCGGTCATAAGGGTTCAGCATCGTCGTCGTTTACGTGAGATTCTTCAGACAGATGATCAGCGCAAGTTTTCGCGCACCAGCACCGTCTTTGCCTGGATGAAGAAAAATGTCCTCTATGCGCCGTTGTTTTCCACACGACACAGTCGGGAGTTTCAACTGCTCGACAGGATTCACATGGGGAGCATACCTTTACGGCTGGAGGCTACATTACTTCTGGGATATATCACGACCAACTTCCTTTTCTTGTTCGTCCTAGTCGACTGGTGGGCGGACTATCAGGAAAAGATGTACCAATTAAAATACGCCGCTGGACATCTGGCGGTGATGAACTCACCTGCGCTGGTCTTGACCGCGGGTCGAAACAACCCCCTTATTCCACTTCTGGGCATTCCTTTTGACACTTTCAATCTCCTGCACCGCTGGGTCGGACGGATCATGATTGCTGGGGCCCTTGTTCACATGGGCTGTGTCATTGGGGCACAGGCCAAGCAGGGTGGGTGCCTTATCTGCCTCGAGTGATGGCCGTTGCTAACAAGGGAAACAGTAACTATGGACGAGATCACGAACGAACTTTGGAATCAGCCTTTCTATGTATATGGAATGATCGTAAGTGATCCGTCTCGACGAAGGGTCTACCAATTGGATTGCTAACGGCCATCGATGGTAGGCTCTTATTGCATTTGTAATTATCCTCTTTCAATCGGTATCACCAATCCGGCATGCATTCTACGAAGCCTTTCTTCACTTTCATATAATCCTGGCAGTCATGGCGTTTGTTGGGCTATGGTATCATCTGCGTGGCTTGGCCCAACAGAGGGTTCTTCTCGCCACATTGATCCTTTGGGGTCTTGATGTGAGTATATGCCCTTGTTTATTAAGTCGCACTGCATTCGATGGACTCATGTTTCTCTCCAGAGACTTGCACGTCTCGTCAGTATTATTTGGCGGAATTGTGGCAAACAGCGTACTTCTGCTACCGTGGAACTATTGCCCGGAGATGTCGCCCGTGTCGAGGTTGCCGTATCCCGGCCCTGGACATTCAAGGCCGGACAGTATATGTACCTCTACATTCCATCGCTAGGATTATGGACCTCGCATCCGTTCTCCGTAGCATGGACATCCTCGGATCGGATGACTTCTGATGAAAAGCGCGATTCGAGCGACTCGTTCAATGTCTTGCTGGGGGAACCGCAGCGGACTACCATGTCTTTTCTGATCAAGCGACGGGATGGATTTACCAACAAACTTTTGAGAAAGGTTCACAGCTCAGAGGAAGGAAGGTTCAGCGCGACTGCGTTGGCAGAAGGGCCATTCGGTATGCATTATGACTTCATCCATTTTACGAGTGGGAGATATGCTTACATATTGGAATACAGGGGGGCTTCACTCGCTTGCCTCTTATGGTACGGTACTGCTCATAGCAGGAGGGATAGGGATAACTCACCCACTTTCCTACCTGCGTGAGTTTGCCGACGGCTTCTCCAACCGATCGATAGCGGTGCGGAGAGCCACCCTGGTATGGGTTGTACGCCACCTGGGTATGTTCTGCGGCCCAAAGAGCAAAGGAACATGAGCTGACCCCAATTAGAGCATCTGGACTGGATCCAGCCGTGGATGGCATCTCTACTCAATCATCCAGTCGTCGAAGTCCCGAATGAGCGGAAACATCATTCATACTTCCAGCTTCCTGAGTTCTCGTTGTCAATTCAAGTTTACGTGACAGCAAAAGACTATAGCACAGACGATTACTTGTCAGACGAGAGTCCCTGGACCAAATCACCGCCATCAAGTGTGCCTATCAGCATCAATTACGGCAAACCATCGTTTGCGGAAGTCTTAGATGTCGAGATGGCGCAGCAAGTTGGTGCGATGGCCGTCAGTGTTTGCGGCCCTGGAGGGCTGGGTGACGACGTGAGACAGGCCGTTCGAGAACGTCAGAGTGGGCAATTGGTCGATCTTTATGAAGATACATTTTCCTGGTAGAATATGCTGCACTACTATAAATGCTGGCGTTTTTGCGATCATAAATAGAAATAAAAATTAGAAGGTATTTTTTTCCCAGACATCTTACGAATTGAATGGCTTGTTCGGAGCGCCTCCATTGCCCTCTTTCTTCAATAATGTAAGAAAATCTTGAGTCATTTCAATAAAAATAGAGTACATTAGCCATAAAGATAGTATTTCGATCCTTAAGAGACGAGGTGAAAGCCGCGCAATGAGCCTTGTAACGCCTGATCAGGCGTAGGTTTACCGAATCGGGCAATGGGTGGGTATCTGTCTTCGCCAGGTCTCGACCAACACAGCACAATCTTGGTTCCTGACAATCTTCATCCATCGGCCCTTCCCTCCTGCATGCATGCTACATCCCAACAATTCTAGACGAAGTCTGGAAGATCCTGGTGACAAATTATTGAAAGTCATGATTAATACTCCAAGCACCGCTGCAACGTCTAGTCTACCAGTGTGTTCAGCCAAGCACCTTTCTAAGCAATCAATCTGAATCACAGCATACTCTTCGGCGCCTTAATCAAATGCAGATTCACCGGCGTCAAAGCCTTCCCTCTCAGCAAAAACTCCTCAATATTCTCCATCGCCAACCGTTCAAAACCCACATGCGTGTCCACCGTGCCCCCCGCATTGTGCGACATCATCATCACCCGGCCATGCCTCGCCAGACGCGGATGCACATATGGCTCCTCAGCATGAACATCCAGCCCCGCAGCCGAGATCTGGCCCTCATCGAGAGCCCGCAGCAGTGCCTCCTCATCAACCAATGATCCCCGCGCGATGTTAATGAATCGCGCCCCGCGCTTGAACCTCCTCAGCCGCTCCGCATCGATCAGCGTCCTCCCCGCAAACGGCGTCGCGACCACCACGCAATCCGCCAACCCCAGCAACTCGTCCAGCTCGCCCACGTACTGCGCGCCAACGGCGTTCTCGACCTCGGGGGATTTCCGGATCAGATCGTTGTATGCGATCTTCATGCCGAAGGCGGCGTGGGCTTTCTTGGCGATCGTGTACCCGATCTGGCCCAGGCCGACGATGCCTAGAACGCGGCCGCGTGGGTTCAGCGCTGTCAGTGGGGAGTTCTTGTGTGCGTCAAGGAAGCGCTGCGGGTTGCAGGAATGCGCTGCCTGGTGTGACCATGCGAGGTTGCGGAAGACGGCGAGGATGAGGAAGAGGGTCATGTCTGCGACTGATTCCGAGGAGGCGGCGGCGCCGTTGCAGTATACGATTCCTTTGTATTGCTGTTAGCTAGGTGATTTTGCCTCTGCGTTGGGTTGAAAACGCACCATGCTGGGCGAAGATCTCTACATCGGCCCAGTCGTAGCCTGCGCCTGCGGAGGCCATGATGCGTACTGACGGCGGGAGGAGTGGGATGAGTTCTGCATCCCACCGACCCATTTCACCTCCTGTATTCCAGAAGGGGCGGAAAATTGCGTGGAAGTCGCCCCAGCGATGTTCTTTCAAGGCTTGCATGAATTCGCCCCGTTCGCGCTCTGCGGCCGTGGGCTGGATGATTTCGAACTCTGAGGCGAAGCGCTGGTAAACATCGTGGTTGTACTTGATGTCGTCGCCTAGATGGAGAACTCGATATCTGGATGTCATTTTGCCTTTTGATTCTCTTTACACTATATTCTATGGCTACTGGTCGTGTCTGCGTGAATCTTGTCTTATACAAAGTATCGCGTTGCGTACTCCGGCCCCAATCAATTGCCGAAAATCAAAAACCGATAGCCGATGCAGCAGATATCCGACATCCAGCCTACTTATCTATAGCCGTCAGAGGCCGATAGCAGTACCTAGCTAGCGATGATCGCTTTATAGTCTCGAATGCATGCCTTTCATACGTGAGGGGTGCTGATTCCCCGACCAAGGTATACCAACGACTCCACGTTCTTCTCCGCACCCGCCCTACTTCTACCGAAATCGATCAAGATCCCCATTCTGCTCTTCGGTAGTCACTCTTCCGAACCGCGAGTCCAACTGCAGAGGCAATGTTCGCGCCCCCAAGGATGTCAAAAATGGCGACGTCTGCGCGGAGTTCTTTCGAGAACCAGTTCCGCAGTTCCACTGCCGCCAGGGAATCGACTCCGTACTGATGTATGGGCTTGTCGACGTCTATCTCAGCAAGAGGTAATGACAGCATCTTGGAGAGCTTGACCCTCAGCTGCTCTGTCACTGCTCCAGTGACATCGGCTACAGATCCAGCGTTTGCGAAGAGAGCAGCGAAATTCGTATGCTCTGCCTTCCCAGGAATGCCAGCGTCCGTCCCTTCGACCAATGTCATATGCTGGTAGAATGGTCGCTTGATCCATTCAGTGGTCGTCATGCCTTTCTCGCGCATCTTGGGTGTCATCCCAACGACCGTCTGACTTCTCAACAATGGAACCTCATCCAGACTTGGGTTACAGTAGATATCCAGGAGCGCATGGAGATCGGACTCTGTGATCTGCTGGAAGACAGAACTTGCCAATGTCTTTTCTCGGAGCGCAAGGTTGTCCTTTAAAACACCGACGGACAGAAACATTCCAAGGTCAAACGACACAGCTTTCTCGCCCAGTGCGACGCGGTATCGGGCTAGACCGTCTTCGAACGTATTTCCAGCAGCGTAACCAGATGCTCCTCGTGCGCCGTATACTCCAGCAACAGATGACATTAACACGAAAAAATTCATTCCTCTCGGAAGAAGCTCGTGTAAATTCCATGAGCCTTGGGCCTTAGGCGTGGTGGAAGCCTTCCAAGATTCGAAAGATATACCTTCAAAATGCGCATCCTGTGAAAATAAAATGTCTCGGTGAATGTTCTTTGAGGTATTATTCGAAGACATCAAGATATTCAAACTTACACTAACAACCATCGATGCTTGGATACATCCTTTGATCGGAGGCATCGTCTTCCCAAACTCGGACAAGACGGCTTTCAGGCATTCCCTGTTGGTGATGTCACACGCGGGAGTAGCAACTCTTGCGCCTTTGGCTTCTAGCTCTCTGACCAGGTCATGAGCATGCGGGTTCTGAGGCCCCGACCGTGAGAGTAGAATCAGATTTCGAGCTCCCCTCTCGACAAACCAGCGAGCGATGTTCCGCCCTAAGCCGCCTAAGCCACCTGCGATGAGATAGGTCTCCTCGGGGCTAAAGAAGTACTCTGGTTTCGTTTCCAGAACGGTCTGAGTTTAATTAGCTAGCATTCTGTTCAGATCTTTGGGGTGGTTAAGATCCGGCATACCATTACCTCGTCCGTATCTCTCATCTCCAAAACAGCCTTTCCTGAGTTCTTGCCACTCTGCATTTGCCTGAATGCAAGTTCAATGTCTGCTATGCCATAGACTTGGAGTGGATCCGGAAGGGAGATCTTCCCTTCCATTAGCAATGACAGGATAGCTTCCAGTGCCGCTGTCACAACGTGTGGACGGTCCAATGTCATCGCGGCCAGATCAACCGCAGCAAAGGTCACATTCTGTTCGAATTGCAACATTGGAAGCTTCGAGTTGGATAAAATATCGTTCTTCCCTATTTCGATGAATCGGCCATACGGTGCGATCGACTCCCAAGATGCGATAAGCCCCTCAGAAGACAACGAATTGAGAATCACGTCTGCGCCTTTGTCCTTTGTGAGGCGCTTGATGCCTTTCGCGAAAAGCGTATTCCGACTGGAGAAGATATGGTCCTCCGGAATGTTGTACTTCTCTACAAGAAACTGCTTTTTATTCTCGTTGGAAACAGTCGTGAAGACCCTCGCACCGAGGAGCTGTGCGATTTGGATGGCGGCTTGTCCCGTTCCTCCGGCACCTGAATGAATCAGAATTGCTTCGCCTTGCTGGAGTCGAGCGATTTCATTAAGCGCAATCCACGCTGTGGCATAAGCGACTGGCAAAGCTGCGGCTTCCGAAAATGAGAGCATAGTGTCCGGGATCTTTATGACGGCCATGTTTTCGTTCAGACAGACATAGTTTGCGTGACGACTGGGATAACACGCCAAAACCCTGTCTCCCGGCTGAAACTTGCGGCACGAGGATCCAACCTTTGTGACCACCCCTGCAAACTCAGCTCCCAGCGCCTCGCTGTCCAGCCGGCCCAGGGCAATCAGCACGTCCCGAAAGTTAAGGCCGACACTCTTAACTTCAACTTCAAATTCTGTAGGCCCGAGTGGCTTCTGGGTTGAAGTATCCTCGACAAAGTGGAGAGTATTTAAAAGACCAGGGGAGCTGATCTCAAGTCTTAGCCGAGGTTCAGCACCGAAAGCTCGTAATGCCCTCTGTTGAGGAAGCTTCTTCGCCGAAATTTCCTGATTGACTAGAGTGGCGTGAACCAGGCGGCCGACGTGAAGCATGCCGCCTAGCTCTGTGTAATCTGTGTCGATGCCGGTCTCCTGGGTCAAGGCAGAGTGCGCTAGTTTGGCAATCTGCCGAGCCTGTTGCTTGATTGACGCCTTTTGCTCCAGGGAGAGGATTGTCAGTCTTGTTCTGTGGTTCTCCTCCCTGAGGACTCGAAAAAGTCCGTCCACGAGTCGGTATTTGGGACATGGTTGATGTCCGCCTCCCCCATTTACCCAGACGAGATTTCTCGTAGAAGTAAGCAAGCTCTGAACACGCTGGAACTCTTGCTCGTTTATATCGTACAAATAGGGACTGTAGCCTTCCAAAATAGCGATATCCAGACTGTTCGTACGATCTTCCCTTTCTAGGGAATATTCCACTCCAGTCCGGGTTATATTGGCCAAACCCGCGCTCCTGAGCTGGGCTTCAAGTTCACCAGCCAATTCCACTTGTGCATAGTTAGCAGGATCGATGACGATACTAATTTTCGGCGACTTTTCCATCATGGACGTATCATGAACAGCAGTCGACAGAATTAAACTAGCCTCCTGGCAGTCCTCGTGGCTATAGTCGTCGATCACGACATCGCAGCCAGAGAATCCGGCTTCCTTCAGATGGCTTTCCCACTGGGCCGAGTCCACGCATGGATTCTTCTGGCGATAGGGCTCGAGTCCTGAAAATGTCTGAGAATCTCGTGTGCGCTTCCAGCTTCAGGGCATAGAAAGACGTACCTCGCCACCATCCTTCGAACAAGCCAAAGACAAACGTTGTCCGGATAGCACCCGGTCGGATGATTTCGAACAGCACGAGCTTTCCCCCCCTGCAATAGTTGATATCAGTTATTGCTCGCATTTAGTTGCGACATGTTGGTGGAACAATCATACGGCTTCAGCAACTTGCGGACATTCTTCAAACTCGCAGACAGATCTTTTGTGGCATGCAAGACCTAAGATGGGTTTGAGGTCAGTTCCTGGCCCTACTTTTGAAACTGTGCAATTTTTAGACTCACCAGAAATGCAACAACCATGTCATACGTTCCACACTCGAAGCCCTCCAGTTCAGGATCCTGTTCAATGTCAAGTGTCTTGAACGTCATCCGCTGGCCTTGAGATGCAAAGATTTCCTGCGCCTTCGGGAAGAAAGATCCAGATATATCGGTGAAGTCCCACTGCCCATAGCGAGGCACCGTGGCGTCGTTTTCCGAGTTTGTAGAAAGGACCTGAAGGCAGAATTGAGTCATAGCGCCGCTTCCAGCACCAACTTCAAGGATTTTCATGTGTGGGTTTTTGTGCGCCAGAGCATCAAGATACCGAGCGAATTGACGAATACGTGGAAGAGAGTGGACCTGCACATTATGGTCATTTTGACGGTCATCCCGACTGTCATCGTTGCGTCCCAACATACCATTTCATAATAAGATTCATCAAGTAAGTTCCCTTCGAATAGGCAAACAATGGGATCGATTTCTCCTTTGAGGAACATGAGAAGGTTCCTACAAACTGTGCTCACAAGCAGTCCTCGTTTGTTCGTGCTCTCGAGTTTTCCATGGACATTATCAACGAAGCTCTCGTCCTTCATGTGGTTCCTCCATGTTTCAGAACTAAAGGGAGATCGGCCTGAGTCTAGTGCTCGTTGCTGATCTACCATCCAGTCCACGTACCTCGCCATATGGGGAGGGGGATCAGTCTTGACATCTGGAATCGACTTGAGAACTCTGTCAACGTATGTTGTCACAAGGAAGTCCAATTCAGTAAAGTACTCGGCTTGTTCTTCGCTGTTTGACTCCCCACTTGCACAGAATGCTCGGATTTCCTCGTTGCCCAGGAGATCGAGGTCAGGCTTCCATTCTACATGGTGGCACAGGTTCTCTGTCTGTAGTTGATCATTATCTGATAGGCCCGCCGAGCTTGCCAGGGCTGTGACTCTAAGACCGCTGATGGTCAGGAGTGCATGAGTGATTTCGCGATCAACTGCAGTCATTGAATACCGGGCGTCCCCGACGGCCGACCTGTGGGAACTCGCATGCACCTTGATGCAGTCCGCTGTCGGATGGCTCAGCCCGCCGGCATTCGATATCCATACTTGGTCGATCCGTGTCGGAACAGCAACGGACTTTTTCTGGCCTCCGTACGTCACGATACCGGCCATCATGTGGATAACGGCGTCTAATGTGGTTGGGTGAATCGTATGAGGCTGAGCAACTGCCGAGCTCTCGTCATCCACCCACCCGTAGGTGCGGACATCTGAGACGAATTGCCCATTACTCCTTCCATCGCATCGGAGAGCCGTGATTGCCTTGAATGCCGGCCCATAATGATAGCCACAGGCGAATATATCTTTGTAGAACTCAGATGCGTCGACGGATGCTGTGCATGTATACGCTGCATTCTGATATGCCTGCACAAGACCCTCCTGCCACTCGCGCTCCACCCGACCGTTGGTATTCAGTCCCATCTCGCCGGCTTCAAATACGGCTTGGATGGAGCCTGTGGAGTTCTCAATCCAGGTGTTGTTGTCGTACGAACATATCCGGAATTCGTACCAGCCTGTACTATCTGACTTGCCTTCTCTGATGCGCTTCATGTGTATATTGGTCTCGATGCCGTCCGCATGTATGGGTATATGCAGTGCAGATGCAAATACAGCATCTTTGATATTGAAGCCCGCGATGACTTTGTCTGGCTCGACCAGCTGCTTGATCGCCTCAACTGCCATTACCAACATGCCTGCCGCCGGGTAGAGAATGGTATTATGGATCTTGTGATCTTGAACCCACGGCATCTCAGAGACTCGGATAATGTTCCGCCAGCTAGCTTCCATAGGGTTGCCGTCTGGATCTGGGATACCGACAAGGTCAAGACAGCCGAATCTCCTGCATCTGTAGCCCTTGCTTTTTCGGCTTTCGCGCCAGTATGATGTCGAGTGGTTGAATGGGTATTCGGGAAGATTACTGAGCACTCGTCTTTGGTTGCCTTTATCATAAGCGGTTGTGTTGACCAGTGCCAGATTGATTGGGTAGCCGTAGCAATGCAAGCGACCTGCACAGTCCAAGGTCGTCTGCACAGCGGATTTATTCCGTACTAGAAGTGAATGATAAAGGATATAGGCTTGCTTGTTGATGCTCTTGAGTATATCACGGCATGGACCCTGCAATGCTGCGTGCGGCCCAATCTCCAGAAGATGACTGATGGCCATCTGATAGCGATGGCTTCCATCGATTTTCCTGGTCTGTTTTCCAGGAGAAGAACAGATGCGGCTCATGGCAACGGAAAATAAAACTGGAGATACCATATTTCTCACCCAGTATGCTGGGTCTGTCAGCTCAAGATTCGAGACCCAGTCTCCTGTGACAGAAGACAACATGACAGGGGCCTTCTTCTTCTCCCAACTCGGTCTCTCCAGCGTTCCCATCGCAGAGTAATATTCGTTTGCGATCTCTCGCATCTGGAACGAATGATATGCGACGTTGACCATCAACTTGCGTGAGAAGACCTCATCCTGCTGCAGCAGGTCATGCAGAGCATCGATCTGCTCTTCATCGCCCGAAACTGTCACGCTTCTGGGGCTGTTGATGCAGGCCACTACCAGCCTCGGATCTTCGAGTCCGCATATAATCCTGTCGATATATCCTTTGGTATCCTTCTTGGATAATCCTACCGCAAGCATGGAACCTTTCATTGAGCTGAGCTTGTCAAGTTTTGCCGCCAAAAAGCCTCTATAGTATGACACTTTCAACGCAGATTGCTTTGAAAGACCCCCCGCGCAGTACCTGTCTCGTCTCTCGTCAGTAACACTGGCATAAATGGATATATTCGGAGGGAAAAATACGCGGCAGCAATTTCTCCGGAGGAGTGTCCTACGACTGCGGCCGGGGTGACTCCCCAGCTGTCAAGCAGATCAATGAGGGCGACCTGGAGAGTAGTCGATAAAGGTTGGCCATAAGCGGGATTATTCACGTTGGTATCAGATGCGGACTTTTGTAGTTCGTCTGTGAGATGATCGTTAGCCATCTTGCTACAGGCTGAACGAGGCGGATACTTACTTAGCAGGTCCCAGGCGCACCCTAGTGTTTTCAGGTACTTCGCGGAGTCTGAGAGACTGTCTGCGAATACAGGATACCGATGTAACAGCTCGCGACCCATCGCGTGCCACTGAGCTCCTTGCTATGAACGGTCAGCCTCGGCTGTCTCCACTATATTATAGGTCATACTCCAGTAAACAAAAACGCTATGTGAGGGTTGTCGGTAGACTTGATTGCAGGCACAAAATAGTCAGGAAGACTTCCGAGATCCCCCAAGGCATCTGCAATAGCATAGCTCCGCCATTGGAGGTGACTGCGACGCTGACTGAGGGTATATGCCAGGTCGAGCAGATATTGACGTCGCTGACTTGTCGAGAGCTCGCGTTTGTCCGATAGAAATGGCTTCCAGGATTCCACAAGTCGCTTGATTCCTTCTTCGTCTGCGGTTGACCACACAAGAAGCTGGTGGTTCTTCTCCTCATCAAGCAATCCATTTTCCTTTTGTCCGATGACGTGATTGTCGGTTGGTTGTCGGGTTTCGTCATTTATGGTGTAGGCCCCCCCAGGCTGAGCCGCTAGACCAGTGTCTGCATGCGATGGAGGTACGATCGCTGTCTGATGACGGCTGTTTTCGATACCCATAAGGCGAAGGGAATTGTATGCATCGTCCAAGACGACGTGGCAATTCGACCCACCGAAGCCAAACGAGCTTACGGATGCTCTTCGTAGGCCAGTTTCGGGCCATGGAATGGCCTTTTGTAACACCTATTGTGCGAAAGTTGTTAGGGCGCTCTACTCAAGCTGGATTATATTCAATACCTTCAAATTGAGAAACTCCTCGTCAATTTGTGGATTTAGGGACTGCAGGTTTCGGCTGTTTGGTGGAATGATGCCTTTCTCCAATGCTAAAATCACTTTGATGACTCCAGCAACACCACTAGCTCCTTCAAGATGCCCTATATTCGATTTGACAGATCCTCTACCGTGGCCTCAGGATCAGTGCTCGCTGCTAATGGGCTGGCAGGACTTACACGTATAATGGTTCCTCGGGCGACCTATACCGGCGAAAAGCGGTCCCTATTGCTCTCGTTTCGATTGGGTCACCAATGGGGGTTCCTAAGCCCTTGTTAACAAAAGAGAACTTCCTAGGGCCTTCTTACATGAATACCTGTGCCATGCGCTTCGAAATACCGGGTCAATGACATATCCAGCCCAGCCTTTTTGTACGTATCTCTGATCAAGCGAACCTGCGCATCTTTGCTAGGCTGCGTGATACCGGGTGTCTTTCCATCTTGGTTCGAAGACGATGATCTTATAACGGCTCTGACGGTGTCTCCATCACGTATAGCGCTATCGAGTCGCTTGATCACAATTACACCGATTCCCTCACCTCTTGCATATCCATTTGCCCGGCTGTCAAAGCTGTAGCTGTGGCTATCCCGCGATAGTAGTCCCAAATTGTCCAAGCTCATGGTTAATTCTGGGGTGAGTATCACGTTGCTGCCGATTGCCAGGCCCTACGAAGACGTCAGCAACGAAAGGACCATAAGAGCTTTGTCCCTCTGTCAAACATACCATAGCAGCGTCTCCACTCCAGATCGATTGGCACGTCATATCCAAGGCGATCAAGCTGCTTGAGCACGCAGTATCAACCGCAACGCTCGGTCCTAGCAGATCAAAGAACCAGCTGACTCGATTAGCAAGCATATTCCGCGATGTGCCCACGGCCGTGTATTTAGGCATATCTAGCGGGTCTTTGGTCTGCAGCAAGAAGTAGTCATCGCTGAATGAGCCTGCAATTACACTGGTCTTAGAGCCCGCAACTTTCTCCATTGGAAGACCTGCGTTCTCCAGTGCTCGATAGACCGTCTCTAGGACCATACGTTGCTGGGGATCCATTGCTTCTGCTTCCGCAGCACTCATCGCAAAGAATGGCGCGTCGAAGGGGTCAAGTTTTTCCTTGAGAAAGTGACCGCCGCGCATTGAGACGCTGTCGAGGCGGTTGCGGTCGGGATGGTAGTGGGCGTCGATGTTCATCCGGTCGGCAGGGAACTCGGTCGAAACGCATCTGCCTTCGAGCAACATCTGCCAGAAGGAGTCTGACGAAGTTGCATCTTCGGGAAACTTGAAGGAGAAGCCTACCACCGCTAAAGGTGGGAGACTGTCGGTCGATGTGCTGCCTACCATGATGAAAAGAAGTCAATGCAGCAGGCGCAGGAAGGAAAGATATCGCCGAACCCATCTCAATAATGACTGATAACAGCTTTATATACGGTGTATCATTGAATGACACCTAGAAAGTCAAACTGGTGATCGGTGGACGATCCTGTCTTAAAGCGAGGCTGTCATTTGTCACTTTGTCGAGACCCATCGATCGTCTGCCACCCGGTCTCAGACACAGCTGAACTCGCTTACGACGATGCAAGGCTCATCACTGCTTGTTGGCCACTATCATTGGCCATACGCCTGTGAATGTGTTGGCTACACAGCCTCCTGTTCGTGCGGAACAAAGTTATCTATTTGGAATTCGACGAAATCGGCAAATGGCTGTTGACGTGACCCACCGCAGCGACACTGATAAATGGTTTCCCATCACTTACTTTGGTTTCCTTTAATCTTTTCACATCCGGAAATACGTCGACGATTTTGTAGTCAGAATGCGCATTCTCTGGTGAGTGTGCCTCTGATCCTCAAGCCAAGTGCAGTTGTTGATGGAAGAGCAGTCTCCATGGAGCGGGCATCAATTCTCGGGTAAGCTTGAGCCCGTAGTGATAATGACAGTCAAACGCAACAATGAAGATAATGACTCTGACATGGGTCGAAGATCTTCGAGATGCAGACAGGTAGAACAGCTTTCCCCTTGCAGATCGAAACTGACTGAAGCAGCCGCCATCCGCTACGAGCTGGCCGACGGCCACGTCTACGATTTCGTAGAAGGCACCATTCCTTGGAGCATGTACCCAGGTCTGTGAGCCCCTTATCAGACATACTCAAGCAGAAAACTAATTCTTCAGGTGTTGAAACGATCGCCCTGGAGAACGAATCTGTCTTTGCGTACTTTGACGACAAAGACCCGCAGAGTGGTCTCGCCGTCTATCAGCATTTCGAACAACACCTGCGGGACGAGGGGCCATACGACGGTGTAATCGCGTTTAGTCAGGCGGCGACGATGATCCTGACGTACCTTATATACGTCTTCAGGAGAAAAAACCGAGGAGACGACGTTGACAGCCCGTTCAAATTCGCTGTGTTTTTCTCGGTTGTCCGGCCGCCGATTGACTACGAGGAACTACAGCGGGGGGAGTTTGTAGATGTGGATTTAGATGATGTCAAGGGTATTGTCGAGATTCCCACGGTCCATGTATGGGGTGCTCAGGAAGACAGTGCCGGCCAAGCAGCCATGGCGAGCGGCGTCTGCATGTCAGATGTGAAATGGACGTATGTCCACGATCGAGGGCATGAAATCCCTGGCTCTGGGTGCAAGGACGCTGTGACAAAGACAGCAAATGCGATACGAAGGGCAATAGAAACTGCATCAGATCATCTCAATAACGAAGAGTAGCCAAGCTCACAATTAGATCCCAAACTTTCTATGTGTCCAACACCCTCTATAACCCCTCGCCTCTACCATCCAAGAACCTCCTATACACCCCCCTCCAGCAACACCCACCGCACCAAGTCCGCAATCGTCCGACTCACTCTGTCCGTCCGGGGAATCTCATGCCCACCCCCATGATTAAACACCCTCCTCTTCCCCGGCTCACAAATCCCCGAAAGCTGCACCCCAGCCACATACCTCGGATCCCTGGACCCGTACACATGCACCGTCGGAATCCCCACCGTAAACGGACCCCGAATCTCCTCCCGGAACTCCTCCTCATCCACCGCCCCACCCAGCGACGCCTCGCCCGTCCAACGCGCCGACCCCCTCGCCAATATCGACGCCGAATCCGCCTGCGCCGCCAACGCCTCCCTCCCTAGCTGATCGCGCGCCTTCACCGCGTCCGAAACCTCGAACCCCACGCTCTCAAGCAGCTTCAGCGGCGCACCGCCGCAGATGAAGATCGCCGCATTGAACGGTGGAGGCTGCGCGGGGTCCTGCGCTTGGTGGAGAAGGAGCATCGCGGCGCCGAGAGCGCATCCCTGCGAGAACATCATGACCGCATCGTAGGGGCCCCGTTCGGCGATGAGATCCTTGAGCCAGGTGCAGGATTCCTTGATGGCCTCGAGAGAATCATCTTCCCAGAAGGAGTAGTAGGGTGCGGGGTAGAAGAGGTCGATTCCCGCTGCGGCGTTCGAGGGGTAGCAGCCGTCTATAAAGTCGAAGTCGATGTTGAGGTCTCTGAGGTGAGAGCGGAAACTTGCTGGAGGGGGGGAAGGGTCAGTTGCGCGCAGAGAAACAGGGGCGCGGGGTATATGACGAACAGGTCTGGGACTTGAATATGGCGCCGCTGGTGCCCTTGCCGTGGAGGCATAACACCCTCATTTTTATTGCGGGGTTTGAGGACTGCGAGCGGGATGGGAGTGAGGGAAGTTGACTACTATGAAGATGCAGGGAAGGGATATGATGCCAATCTGGCAGGAAACTCGCTGGGGCTGGGATCAAAAATCTCCCGTCAGCAAATCGCCCCCACTACAGCTGCAGGTCAGTTTGACAACATCAACGGGCGTCTCAGCTTACAGGCTTCATATAGTTTGCCTGCCCGTACGTTTCGGTTCATTTTGCACGGACACGATGGTGGCGTCAAATCAGCAGCAGGACCTGATTTCCCTTCATGGATCACTCTTATAGTTCATTACTCTACCTGACTGTCGTCCTTGCATGTTCTGAGGCACTATTAAATGTATATTGCTCAATGCAACCAATTATAACTTGATGACCAACTGAATTTAAAAATAAAGGTAAGCGAAGATGCAATCATAGCGAAAACAAACTGTCAACAAGTGAATCTAATGCGCGACAAAAGACAAAGGGCAATCGTGTGTTGAACACTGGCTAGAAACCGTCGGAGCTGCCGAAAATGGTTGAGCATTTTCAGGCTCCTTTTCAACATTCAACCCCAGTTTCTGCTCCCCACATCGTCTACTTCATCTCCACGCTGGCACTGGCACTCAACGATAAAAGAGTAGATGGCGTCAAGCCAGCTCTCATCTCAGCGTCCTTCATTGTGAGCATTGCGTTCTTACCGGTGCCAATCATGCAAGCCCTCTTGATCGCCTTCCAACTTTCCACAAGAGCCAGATACACAGCGACACATCCGAAGACGATTCCCCACTCCCATCCGATACCCTGATGCTTGAACACCAGTCTGTTGACGGCAGGCAAGTAAATCACCGGAAAGGCCACCACGAAGCCGGCAATCACTGCCCAAAATAGGAAACGGTTTCTCCAGATGGACTGGAATACAGAGAGCTTGCTGGGAAACTTATCAGGATCTAAATTGAACAGAGACCGAGAGAAGTGTTTGACCTCCCATGCTGTGATCAGCAGAAGAAAGGTAAGCGTGGCATAGGTTGTAGCACGCGCTCGGAAGACGACGTTGCATGTTTCGTTCCAGCCATTGTTGCAATCGTCTCCAAGGTCAGCAATACCAGCGCCGGCTCCATAAATGACGCATACAAAGGCCACCAGACACAAAGATCCCATGAATGTACCGTAGATCATTTTGTCCGTGATAAGCTCCTTGGTGAAAACGCCCACCTTTAGATCATGTGGTGGACGGTACATTAGATCAGGCTGCCCTTCTTCCAATCCCAACCCTAAAGCTAGGAACGATGAGGTGACCAGATTGGCCCAGAGAATCTCAAGCGGCGAAAGAGGAAATATCGAGTTGCCCTGCTTATCTTTAAAAGCGAGAGCTATCAAGAGCAAGATCACCTGAGCGATATTCGATATAAGCAGGTGCATCAGGAACTGCAGAAAATGTTAGTCATGTCATACAGGACCGCCAAGTCGAGATTACCTTCTGGATGTTGTCAAAAAGTCGTCTTCCTTCCTCCACGGCCTTCACGATAGATGAGAAGTTATCGTCTGTGAGTACCATGTCGGCCGCTTCCTTTGCAACATCGCTGCCATTCTTGCCCATTGCAATGCCAACATCCGCACGTTTCAGCGCGGGCGAGTCGTTGACCCCGTCGCCTGTCATCACACAGAAACCGCCGCGTCGATGCATTGCCTCAACCATTCGAACCTTTGTTGTAGGGCTACATCTAGCGATCACAAGGGGTAGCTGTTCGATAGTATCTATATCAGCATCGGACAGCTCGTCAAATTCGGCAGCAGCCATGACCAAGCGACTTGATCTGCCGTCCAACATTGGACCGAGGATTCCCACTTCAGATGCAATTGCTGTTGCCGTTTTGATGTGGTCGCCAGTGAGCATATGCACGGTGATTCCTGCCATCTGACACTTTCGCACAGCAGCGGCGGTCTCAATGCGGGGAGGATCGTAGAGCCCTACAAGTCCGCAGAACTCAAGATTGGCCTCAGCCATGGCGCGTGGAAAGACTTGGGATTGATCTTCGAGTGGTGCTCTTTTGTGTGCAATGCAGAGAACACGAAGACCTTCCCCAGCCATCCTATCAGCTTCATACTGAATGTTTCTCTTTTCATTCTCAGAAATGGCGAGGCCCGGTAGAACAGCTTCGGGTGCTCCCTTCGTATACACCTCGTTGATGTTCTCGCGCGAGCTTTTGTAAACGATTGTCATCCTCTTAATAGAGGAGTCAAACGGATACTCTGTGTGGAGCTCCATACCACCTCTCTGTAGTATAGTCGATTTCCCGTAACCGACACGCAGCGCCAGAACGTTAAGAGCAATTTCGGTAGGTTCCCCCACGGCAGTCCAGCACCTACTTGAGGCGTGAGATGACTCCTCCTTTTGTACGACTGACATATTACATAGAGCAATGGTGACAAGAAAAGTAGAGAGCGCCGGGTTACCATCTTGCTTTTCAGGGCCCCAGTCAGCCCCGTTCAGTTGAACTAAACCGCTGGTAGGGTCGTACGGATCGGTGGTGTCTTGGACTGTCAGAGTACCGGCACCTGGTATCCACGCCGTACGTGCAATCATCCTTCCTTGCGTCAATGTTCCTGTCTTGTCAGAGCAAATGTTTGTGACACCCCCAACAGCTTCCAGACATTGAAGCTTGCGGACGATGACGTTCCCCTTTGCCATTGCCTTGGTGCCCACAGCCATGGTTATTGTGAGCACAGCGATTAGGGATTCCGGAATCACGGCCACGCCAATGGCTATTCCGTATATCAAGACTTCCCCTTCAATGTCCCACTTGTTGACAGAAAAGACGATAATAGCCAGGAGTACCGCGAGAGCAAAAAGAAGGAGCGCAAATTTACTCAACTTGACCTGTAGTGGAGTACCAACGAGCCCGAGGAGATTCTCCCCTGTAGATTTGACGTGGCGAACGGCCCGAACGAGCCTGCTGGAATCCACGTCGTCTAAAGTCTCTTGGAGAAGTTTAGCTATTCTGCCCACTTCTGTTTTCATTCCGGTAGCAGTCACGATTCCGGTTGCCCGTCCTTGTGTCATGCTACATCCAGAATATGCCATGTTGGTTCTATCGCCGATGGGAATATTGCGGGAAGTAAGGACAATCTGTGGCGTCTTGTTTACAGGCAGAGATTCGCCTGTTAGCAAGGCCTCATCCATCGATACGTTCGTTCCGTCGATCAATCTGAGATCTGCGGGAACGATGTCGCCAACCGTGAGTTGAATAACATCGCCAACGACAACAGACTCCGCCGGGACGGAGACCACGCGGCCGTCTCGCAGTACCTTGCATACGGGTGCGGACAGTCGATGCAGCGACATAATTGTCTTTTCTGCCCGGTAGTCTTGGACGAACCTGAGCAATATAGATCAGTCGGAGGCCATTAAAAATCAAAGGACATAAGCATACCCCACAACGATGTTGAGGAGGATGACTGCTGTGATCACACCTCCCTCGATGTAGTCATGTATACCAAAGGATATAGCCATAGTGATGAGGAGAACCTGGGTTTACGTTGTTATCATTTGGCAATTCGAAGTTTGATCGATCAGGGTGTGGCCCTTGTAGGAATGATCATACTATAGTTAGACTATTTGAAACCTGCCTCAACAGTATTTTCCAGGTCGATACGCCCTCGATTTCTTGAACCCTGTTCGGGCCATCCCGCTCCAAGCGAGTGGCAGCTTCCGTACTGGACAGGCCATTCCTGGAAAGTTGAGTCAGAGAAAGGAGAGGTGGCAGACGAAGGAGCGAGAATAAAAATGTAGAACTTACTGAACATCAACCTGGAGAAGTCTTGCCAGTTGTTCAGGAGAGAAAGTATGTGCACAGTGAGTTGCGCTCTCATCATCATTGACAAAGGCAGCAGCTGCCGATTGAAATGAGGTTTTATAGGGCTGTGGCGTCGAGACATCTAGAGTTGCAGGATACTCTAGCTTCTCTACGCTGAGTCCTGCTTTTACTTCACATGTGTGATTCTTTGAGATTGAAGTGTATTTGTCCGTAAAAGGACATATAGGAGGCTCTGTCGATTCCTCGACATCAGGAGGA